CCAGGTGGGTCTTCTGGTCGGTGCCGGAGCCGGGGCTGGGCGCCGAGAAGCTGGGGGACGGGGGCACCGAGCTGCAGGGCGTGCTCATCGGCGTGGAGGAGAGCGAGCCCCCGGCGATCAAGCGGCCGCACTGGCTGATAATGCGATCGGTCTCCACCGGCTCCTTTTTCACTTCAAACTTCATCAGATCGAAGTCATTAACATATTCCATGGCCAGGGGACTGGTGGGCAGGTCGGAGTTGCTCATTGCCAGTTCTGATGCCATCCTTTTGCTGCTGACAGTCCTCCAGAAAGGGTGCACTCCGGCAGCGAGGGGACTGCTCTGAGTTGCCACCGGGTGAGCCAGCTTGATTTTTTGCGGTATCTGGTCTCCTGCTCTGTGTCCTGCCTCTCCCTCGCTCCGCCAGCCCCTCGCAACCTCCGCTCCGATTTGCACCGGCGGCTTTTTCTCTCGCTCCTTATTATCCTTTGCAGAGTCTACGGTGCTGATGATGCATCAGAGCGAGTGGCTCTTTCTATTCGCCTTTTGCATGAAGGGTGTTTTTTTTTTTCCTCCCTTCTCTCTCTCTCTCGCTCGTCTCTCTCTCTCTTTTGCAGCTTGCAAACTGCAGCTGGTACTGTTAGCTGTTGTTGTTGCAAGTAAAAAAAATTTTTTTTGCTTTTGTTTTGTTATTTTAACACTTCATGGTGTCTTTCCTCTGGTCTTTTTCATGCAAAGTGCAAATCGAGAAGAGAGGTTCATCGGGGAAAAAAAAGGAGGAGGGAAAAGAGACCGAAGACAAAAAAAAAAATCAAAGTCAATATCGCAACCAAAATAATAATAATAAAAAAGAGAGAGAGGAAAAAAAACCTCAACCCCAAAGCTACAGCGAGAAGATGAAAAATATTTTAAAGGTTTCATCCAGCAGGAGAGTTTAAAAGCATTGCAGAGTTTTATAGCAGTCCTGACGTCAGCTTTCAATGGGAAATTGACTCCGCGCGCGGACCAATGGGCTGCCCCGCTCCCAGCCCTCATTAGCATAATAGTATAGAAACAGGAAAACTTTTCGGGGCTGTCAATCAGGGCCGATCAGCTGACTGTCAGCTGGGGAGAGCCTTTAACTCCTGCCTGCCCGCGCCGCGCCGCGGGGGCGCTG